TGGTTCACTGCAACCTCAACCTCTCGGGTTCAAGCAATTCTCTGCCTCAGGGAAGCAGGGATCACAGGTGCACACCACTATGCCTGGCTAATTTTTGTATTTTTAGTAGAGACGGGATTTCACCATGTTGGCCAGGTTGGTCTCGAACTCCTGACCTCAAGTGATCTGCCCACCTCAGCCTCCCAAAGTGCTGGGAGCTCACCATAATTATTAATAGTGCCCCTCTTTCATTCTTATAAGTGTCCCTGTTTAAAAGATAAAGATACAGTTACTTGAAGGCAGTGATTGCATTTTTACTTTTCTTCATGGCCTCTAGGTGTAAAATGGATAATTAGGTCAGTAGATAAACCTTATAAGATGTGGGTTCACTGGAAAAAGAATTGAGAACTATTAGAGACACTAATGTGTAACTTGCCCAACATGACAAAGCGGCAGTACATAAGAAGCAGCTTGTGACCTTCCACCAATGAGGCAGCAAAATGCTTTGCTCCACATTTCTGCATGACAATGTCAGAATTTAATTTTTCAAGAAATGCTCACGGACCCTACCACTTCTCCTTGTGCTTTTATAATAACTGCTCATCCACAACTTCTCCAGTAAGAGTTGCTTTTTAACACTTGGCAAAAAAATTGTATCAGAGACCTTACATGACTCATTCTATTATAAGAGAAACGTGAAGTTTCCAGGTTTTAACAGTGAAATATATTGTATTGCTTAAATGGCATACAATTAATCTGTACCCAAAGAGAACATTCTGTTATCTGTTTACTCAGAAATGCATATTTATAAGAAAAACGGAAAACAATGCATGGCAGCTGAGCACCCACTGACATCAGTTGAGTCAATATGTCCACCCAAATACGTCTGGTTACGTTCTTTGTGATGCCAAATGTCATTAAAACAATTAACATAGATGGTACCAGCAGAAGGACTGCTTCATAGAGGGATAGCACTTACTCTGGACAGCCTGAAAGGCTTTGAGATACTCCACACTGAGCAATGGCTGAGGCAACTCCCGAATGAAGAGCTTCAGCAGGCTGGCGGCATCATGCTGTTTGACACTTTCCCAATTAAAAGTCCCTTCATAAAACTTTGCTTCTAGTTCTTGGCAAAGATTCTGATAGGCACAGGAGAAAAAAAAAAAAAAAAAAAAAAGCAGCTATAAGTGCATTTTTTACTTGCTGAGAGTATGATACATTTTCACTTTCAAGAGATTCTGCTCTTTAGACAAGACAAAGCAAACTACCAAAAGTCAGTATTTCTTTTACTCAGAAAAAAACTACTCCTCTCCTCTAATCCAAACGTACTTTACCAATAAAAAACTGTACCTAAGGCCAAAACATATTTTAAAATTTATACTTTTTCCTGGACATTCCACACACTATAAATAATAAAGTTTTAATTAAGAGATTTGGTTAAAATAATTGTTCCATTTTGGGGCTTCATCTACATATTATAAATCTTCATTAAATTAAGAAAAAAATCATTAAAAAAGAAGTATGTTTTAAATTATTTGGAAGTATATTACATAACAAAATACATATTCAATCTCTGGGCCTAAAACAGAAGGCTACCTCTGATTAGTCACCTATGGGAAATGGAAAACCCAATTTTAAAGCAAACGAGGCATGAAAATACATCAATATACCTGTCTTTAACGCACAGCCATCCTGCTGCCAGCTGCGGAAAACAATCTGAGTCCATGCAGATTTAGAAATATCTAGTTCACTTACCTCAGAACTCTACAATATTTGTCAGGCAAATTATTACTAATAAACCAATTGAGTTCTGTAATTACTATTTTTTGTATACTTCTTTACTATACATAAATCTTACCATGTTAAAAATCATCACAAGTTTCTGTCAGTTTCCTCTATTACATAAAACCATTCTCCCAAAGTATGTTTTCTGTTTTCTTGTAAGGCAAATTACTACATTTTCTCTTCCTAACACAACAACCATTCTCTACCCTCAATTATTTTTGTAATTGATGAAATAGGTGAAGGGGAGTGGGCAAAGACAGAAAAATAAATAGGGAGGAGGAAAGGAGAAGGGAGAAAAGGAGGGAGAAAAGGAGGAAAAAAAAAAGGGAGGGAGGGAAAAAAAGAGGAGGGAGGAAAAGATAGAAAAAGGGAGTGGGAGATAGGGAGGGAAGGAAGAGGAGAGAGAGGGGGCATGGAGGGAAAGAATGAGGGAGGAAAGGACAACAGAGGAACATCCAGAGAAGACAGGCAGAAAGAATGGAGGGAGAGGGAGAGAGAATAGTACAGAGAAATTTGGTGGGGCCAGGGAGAAAAGAGACAACCAAAATTTTTGCATATTATCTTTTAAATTATTTATAATGGACCAGCTGCTGCATAATTTGGCATATGACAACAGGCTGGGTTGAAGAGTTGAGCCAGCTGAATCCACTTAATTGGCCTTCTTAGAAATTACACTTAGTTAAACTTGTCCTTCTGCCAGCCTTCTCATTGCAAAGTAAAATCTGCATTATATTCACTATTCTGTACTAAGTAAATGTATTTTTGCTTCCTGTGAGCTGGCCATCGCAGTCTGCTAGTGAGGGCCTGAGTGCTTTCAACGGTGAATTGAGGACTATGTTGCTGATATGGGTAATATGAAGTTATATTTGTTACCTGTTTCTGGGGAACTATATCTTTGTTAGTGAATGTACTTACTAGAACTTGTCTCAGAACCACACAATGTCCACGACTGACTAGTGGCGAATGTGCCGTAGGTGTTATATGAAGTGAGAGAATGACAAGCTATGAAACTTACAAATACCACAATTTCAGGGACGTCTAAATATCAGACGCCAAACCCAGGGGACACAAGTGGAAGCTTATGATCCGAATACAGCAAGCTACTCAAATCCTATTAAAATGAGATCACTATGCAGTAAGAGCCAAGGAGGTCGAAACTGGTGTCCTAAATCAAGGCAACTTATCAAAATAAGCAGGTGATGCAAACTGTGAAATGTATAAAGAGTAATTCCAATCCTGGCCACACCACAGCCCATTAGAAGCAGGCCAGGACAGTGTGTACTCTCCAAGAAATACTTAGTCCTAATCCAGTTCTAAAGATTTCATAAAGAATGTCATGAAAGTGAAGAGAGAATCTCTCTCTTCTCTCCTATTTTCTCTTGGATTTTCAAATTCAGGAAGACAATGCGTTGGATATGGGCAGTGGTTACTTGTGCTATCTCAGTGCAGAGGTAAAGGTGAATCTGGAAGATCGGGTAAAAGTGAATAGTTAATGGCTGCTTTCCAGATACAGCTACAATTCCAAGTATGAGTCCCCTTGACATTTAAATCCCCTGAGGGGATATGTAGTATGCATCCCCTGTAGGGTAATTCCATGTTTATCATGCATTCATTGGAAGATTCATCCCCCAGAGCAAAAAGTGAGGCACAAAGATGACAGCAGGAGGATACATGGTACCCCAGAACAGTAGGAAAGAAATGTCATCCAGAGAGAAGAAAAGGCATGGGAGAAGGTAGGGCTCAAATTGGGAAGTCTGGGAATTATTCTTTCACCAGCCAGACTCAGGCTACCCTGGATGCAGCAAGACAGGGAACTGTGTGAATTAGGAAGGTGGTTGAGAGTGTCTCGTCTGACCTGCTCACTAAGACTAATTATGCATAGGATGCCAAGGCCCCCCATCTGCTGGAGTCTATGATTCTGGCTTTTTTTTTTTTTTTTTTTTAAATCTTTTGAGACAATGTCATGTACTGTTGCCTGGGCTGGAGTGCAGTGGCACGATCTTGGCTCACTGTAACCTCTGCCTCCCAGGTTCAAGTGATTCTCCTGTCTCAGCCTCCTGAGTAACTGGGAATACAGGTGCCCAACACCATGCCCAGCTAATTTTCTGTATTTTTAGTAGAGACAGTGTTTCACTATGTTGGCCAGGCTGGTCTCGAACTCCTGACCTCATGATCTGCCCACCTTGGCCTCCCAAAGTGTTTTTTATTTTTAAGAAATAGGGTCTTATTGCTCTGTCACCTCGTCTGGAGTACAGTGGGACAATGAGAGCTCACTGCCACATGGAACTCCTGGGTTCAGGCAATCCTCTCCGCTCAGCTTCCTGAGTAGCTGGAACTCCAGGTGAGCACCACAGTGCCTGGCTAATTTTTTAAAATTATTTTTTGTAGAGACAGGGTCTCACTTTGTTGCCCAGGTGGTCTCGAATTCCTAACCTCAAGCAATTCTCCCGCTTTGGCCTCCCAAAGAGCTGGGATTACAGATGTGAACCACCGTGCCCAGCCCTGACTTTTGTAAACTCAATTGCTACTACTCATCCTGGCCAAATCTATCACAACTATCCCCACGCCATTAATATTTTAACTCATCACATTCTCTTGTCATAGTATTATTATAGGTAATATGGTGATTTTGAAAAAAAAAAACGAAAAACAAAAACCAGACAGGACTGTAAAAAAAAACTAAACTGAATGATAAAAGGTTTTATTGTTTTATTTTATCTACTTTACTAACAATGGAAAAAAGGGGTGGAGAGGACAAGCTTTTTTAGCTTTTAAAATGCATAAATGTAAATAAACAATAAAATGTTTACAATTAGTAGAACCCAGAGATTACCTTGATTCTAATGGCAGCTCCAGGGATTCGTAAGAGGCCTTCGGTTTCCAAACCTCCCTCTTCAATTCGAGAAATTAGCTGTGCATAAACAGAGAAACATTCTAATTTCGATATTTGTAACAGGTACAATTCCAAATTTAACATCTGTTTCACATGTAAATAGAACTGATTACAATGACGTGTAAACTGGATTTTATGAGGTTTTGAATTCTATTGCACTACCACTGTCCTTCAAAACAGTAAGTCCAGAAACTTTTGTTGTAATTTAGAAAAAGTTGGGCCTTATGCTACTTTATAACAGAAGTGTGTAATTTCACACAACAGCTGTGGTACTCCAAACAAACAGAGAATAAAGATGCTCATTGTTTAAAAGCAACTAAGAACATCTATTTATTCTGCTTTTCCAGAAACCTACATTCTGCAATCAAATAAATCTTATGAAAATCTAACATTTGCATATTTACATCTCATTTTTAGCTTGTTCCAAGAAAGAATTATTTATGACATGCAGAAAAAAAAAAACTGTTTGCAAATATTCATTTTTAAGCCTTTGGTGTTAAACAAAGAAAAATGTACTTGTATATGGCCTCTAAGTCATACCTGATGCCCAATGAATACACTGATCTAACTCCAGATTCCCACAAAAAGCATTTTTGTTTTTGTTTTTTAAAAAAGCAGAAACCCGCAAAAATAAGGCAAATGGAGAAATTACAATGACTATTGGAGGCTAAGAAGAAGATAAAAGAGTGGTCAGATTCTTGGTAAAGTGATCTTCTTGGAGTAGGCATTCCCTGAGCAGTACACAAAGCCTTTACAGAACATATTCTGCTATTTTAAGAAAATCAGTTTTCATGTCCTCGTTTAAATATAAGGCATTTCCTAGCATCATACAGGTTTTCCTCCCTGGCACCCATTCTCATTTCACAATTGCCTTCTCTACTTTATAAGAGACAGACCTATTCTTCACTCATCCACAATCTTACTATAATATTCTCTGCATGCCCGAAGGCATAAAATCTTCTAGAGTATCAAAAGAATGTAAAAAAAAAAAAAAATTCAGGGAAGCCTCTTTTAATGATTAAACAAGACTCTATAAACTACCCAGAGCTTACTGTTTTCCCCTTGCACATAAAAGTGTCTGTTAGGAGCAAAACCTGGCATCATAAATGAGGTCTTTTGACCTTTGTCTCGATATTCTGAAGTTAGATACATTGTAGGATGTGGACACTGGAAGAGATGTCAACTTTTCTTTCAAGACTTCGCCTCTTCTATTCCTGGGTTATATTATGGCCAAAGAATGCACTGATATTGAGGAAGTCAGATAAGAATTAAGCATAGTAGTCTCAAAATTCTCCTAAGGATTATTAGGAAAAGAGAAGCATCTTTGATCAGACAAAGCAGTACAGGATTTTTAAAAATTCTTCTGGAGTATTTTCCAAGACCACGTTTTTTGAGTAACACTGGATAAAAACCCACAGCAAAAATTTTAGGCGAATTATTTTAGATCAGATGGGCGTTATTCAAAATAAAGCATTTAAAACCAAATTTAACCAATATTCAATGTATAGCCAATTTTCATTTTATGTGATCTTATAAAATGTTTAAAATGTTTCTAGTCCTATTAACAAAATGTACAATTGTATGCTAGCTGCTGGAGCAAATTAGTTTTCAGCAATACATGCCTTTCACTTTCATTAAGTACACAGGAAAAAGTGATTGTGACTTCTAAATAACTGAATGAGCATAATTTCTGCATTTTAATATTCGAGTCCTTTTCATTATTCTCTAAGGCTAAAAACCAGCACCCAAGAGAGTTATGTACATATATCCTCAGAAGGAATGCCACGTGTTTTCTCATATATCTCGCTCTGAAAATAACATATTTTTAGCTACCACATTATACTGCATTATTAAAATATAAATAATACTTTATAGCTTTCCTTTTCTTATCAGGATTAAAATAGAGATGAAAAATAACTACATTGACCCATACGTTTTAATGATGCTGTTTTGACTAATTTACCTATGTTCTGTAATTTATCAGTAATTTTCATAGCATTTCTCAAAATATATATTACATACTTATGTGAATTGAAAAATGAAATGAAAATACAGACTCTGACACAAAGTATGGCTGAGTTGGCTGATTCATTTGACAGTGAAAACACTAGATTTGATACTTAGGTTATAAGGCAGACTTTTTTCATAGATTAAAAATTAGCAATATTTCTATTTCCCCACCTTTCTAAGAATACAAGGTTTAAACAATGTACCTCTGAGTAAAATAATAATATAACAGATAAAGGTTCATAGATATTAGATAAGCTTTGTTAGTGCCCTTTCTGGGTATATAAGCTCAAAAAAATAGTCCTCTAAAGACTGGTAATGAATCTTCTTGCAAATTAGTCGTTTCTAATTTTTCCCCTTTAACAAAACAGAGATAAGACCTAATTGAGTTGTCAGCCGATAAATCAAAACTTTTTTTGTGATAGATCATTGTGACTTTTTGCTTAAAATTCACAGGGGATGCAAACAGATGAGTGTTATCTACAAGTAAACTTTTTATATGCTCCTTTATTTTTTATAGAAACAAAAATACTTTAGGGCCATTATCCAATCCTTCAAACAGATAGACAGCCAGAGTCTGCAGAATGTTAAGGGACCAAAAATGTAAAATAACCAACTAAATAAATAAAAAAAAAACTTCAAGAGAAAATGACAAAGGGAGATTTTTCTTAATAGACTGGATGCAATCCTCAGGCAGATCACGTGGCATCATTGAACCTCCACAGAAACTGAAGCTCGCTGTATTTCTGTGGTGTGATGGTGAATTTTGTGTGCCAATTTGGCTAGGCTATAGTGCCCAGGTGTTCAGTCAAACACCAGTCTATATGTTGCAGTGACAGGTTTTGTTGTTGTTGTTGTTGTTGTTGTAACAGTAGACTTTGAGTAATGAAAATTATTTAATACTCTCTATAATGCAGTGGGCCTCATCCAAACAGTTGAAGGCCTAAAAGATTTTGGTTTCCCAAAGCAGCAGCAATTTCGCTTCAAGATTGCAACAAAGAAACACTGCCTAAGTTTCCAGCCTGCAGCTTTTCTACTCAAGATGGTAGCATCAACTCTTGCCTGAGCTTCCAGTCTGCTAGCCTGCTCTACATATTTCAGACTTGTGAGCCCAATTGTGTGAGCCAATTAAAAAAAAAAAAATCTCTTCATCTCACTCTAAATATATCCTATTGCTTCTGTTTCTCTGGAGAATTTTGACCCAGGAAAGGATGCTGCTGAGATCCCTGCTTTGTATAGGCTTTGGTATATAGTAAATTGCAACTGTTACTGACAGAAGAATTTGAATATGTAGCCTGTATTTGTCAGCCTCCTCCTGTTAATCACAGGTACTGCTGACAGCTCTCCATAGATACATGTTCTGCACACGGTGGCTAGCAGAGGCTGATGGGTGGGATAAACTGTGTAGAACAAAGTTTGTCATGAGAAATAATGAGATGCAGGTTTGAAGGTAGTGGTAGATATGAGAGGAAAAAAGCACCAAATGTTAGTAGGTAAGACAGGGAATTGACTAGTTTGGAAGAGCGGAAGAATAAGTGCCAAGTAGATTGAGCCTTAGTACTGGATGAGCTTGCTAAGCCAATTAACTGCAAATCAATTTCTACTGTCCCAAGAAATTTCAGAAACTGTGATATGCCTGGGCTGCAGCAAAGAGTCTACAGCTTGGGTAGTTCGCAACTGAGTTGACCTGTCTTCCTCTCTGTGCGTTCCTTAGCTTTTCTCAAATGTAATCTGTGTTTCTGAACAATGATGGCTCAGAGGTTGCATGGAAATTTTTATATTGCCACAGATAATCCCCTTATGAATAATTGAGTGTTGACTACACAAGTGACTTAATAGTTTAGCAATCATTTTCTAATTCTACTTTATGGTTTCTTTGCCTACTTTGGAAATAGGCACTGGTAAATTAAATTGGACATCCTCACTGTAAATAGAAAAGCTTAGGAAATATACACAGGCATGAAATATTCATAAGGATGCAATTCCCTAGAAATTTATAAGCAGTTCCCACTCCTATGTATTATAGAATTGAAATCTCAATTATACAAAGCCAGCTAATATAAGACAGGAAAATGATGCCAGGTAATCACAGTTACAGTAATAACACAGAAAGCATCACCATGAATATAAAACTTATGAGCCCTTGAAACAAATTTGCTTCCTGAATAGAAAATCAAAGTACAAAACATGACAGTATATCAATTGGAAAACTATATTATAATAATATGAATACAAAAAACCACTATTAGCTTAAGTATGTTCTCTCTATGCTGACCGATCCAAGCCTACTTACTTTTTGAAAGATCAAGGGTATTCGAGTTCCTAGCACTTTCCTCTGATCTTGTTCTAATAGCACTGTCAATGGAATGCAAAAAAGACCAGAATCTGCAAGAAAAAATTGTCAATCTATAAAATATTAATATAAAAATATTAATATAAAAATGTTAAAGCATGAGATTTCTGATACTGTCAATCAGACAACTATATATTGAGCAACTACTAAGTGAATGACAGCATCTCAACATTATATATATGGTGGCCAATAGCAAAATCCTGGCCCTGACTTATAGAGGCATGTAGCAAGGAAAGACAGCTAAACAAATGATTGCAAATAATTACCAACATAATTACAAAAGTGCAAACTGCTGCATAAGAGAAATAGAGTACTGTGACAGCATGAAAAATATCCAGATAATTTACTAAATGTAATCAAATTAAAAATTCTTACTTAAAAGCAAATATTGGCCAGGTGCAGCGCCTTATGCCTGTAATCCCAGCACTCTGGGAAGCCAAGGTGGGAGGACTGCTTGAGCCCAGGAGTTCAAGACCAGCCTAAGCCTGGGCAACATAATGAGACTCTATCTCTATGAAAACTAAAAAAAAAAAAAGTTAGGCAGGTATGATGGCAGGCTCCTATAGTCCCAGCTACTTGGGGGGCTGAGGTTGGAGGATAGCTTGAGCCTGGGAGGTTGAGGCTATGGTGAGCCATGATTGCACCACTGCACTCCAGCCTCAGTGACAGAGCCATCACGTTTTTATCACCAAAAAAAAGAAGCAAATATCATTCGTCTTTTCCACATTAAATAGACACTGAACATTTTACAATACAGCAAAATATAAATATTTGCTTTCTAAGAAATCAGGCAAGATTAAGATCTTGTTCTACAAATGTTTCTCTTTAGAAAACAGATACTTGCTACTCTTAAATTTGTGGTTGTATACACTTAGAAATAGCTCCAGAAAAAAATGACGGTAATAATTTACAATTTTTCTCAATTAAAATCATATGCCTTGAGTCTGGTATGAACATGGCTTCTACCAGCACTTCCACCCTGCCCCCATCACTAAGTGTAAGGTTAGCACCAAAGTGATAACTTTTTCCTCTATGACACACACCAGCATGGAAGCGAAAAATCATCTGTGAACATGAAAAAGGGGATTATCTTGTGGTATGAGGACAGACATTGGATATTGTGACACTTAATCGAGATGCCATTCAAAAGAATGCCAGTACCCAGTAAATAACTTTCCAGTTTGGGAATTCAGAAAAGATGTAATCTCAAAAATGCCAGGGGTCTAGGGTATAACATAAAATCAGTATCTTGGATAAGACAAACAGGTATTAAATAAAAATGGAAAGAAAGTCTATTAACCGTGATAGCCTTGATATAAACAATTTAATGTTTCTTTGCCAGGATGCAATTCTAAAACATACCAATAAAAAATAAAAAAATAAAAAAAACTCTCTGAGCCACTTTAAAAATCTTGGGCACTGACCCACAACTGCTGAAATTGTATTTCTAGTTTATGTTTGGAGAAGACTTTGTGATGAGCTTCTCAGAAAGCATCTTAAGTCTTCATTATCAACAATGGACTTCGGAAAAAACAGAGCACCATTTAACTCAGAAATTCACCATCCTAGGCTTTAAGCTCAAATACTCAAAGGAACTAAGCACAGAATGAGGTCTTCTGGGGCCCAGCATGACAGGAGAAGAAGGGAAGGTACACTTCAGTCCTAGAGTAATTGCCTCTAAAACCTAAATCAGGTGAATACTCATCTTTGTGAATGTTACCATAGCAATTCCATAATCCTCCTTCTTGGTTTCTCTTTAGGAGGTACCTCTAAGGTTTAATATTTAAGAGGACAAAGAATCCTAAAGTAAAGTTTTGTCAACAGAGAATTATGTGGATTTCAAGACCAATAAATTACTGGAGAAACAAAAACTGAAGAGGTGTCTGTTTCTCCATTATATCATAAAAAAACAAACTGTTTATTTAATGGGTAAAGCAAGGTACTTACAAAAAAAAACAAAACCACTCCACATTTCCATGATGAGTACAGTCTAGTGGTATTGTTGTGTCACAATGGTGGTATTTTCTTAATAGGGGAAAGAATGTCTTTGCAAAATAGGTAAAATTAGAATGTCGAGGAACAAAGGGGCAGACTACTAACTGGCCTATTTATTTTCTATCCAATGAATAAACAAAAGTAGTCACTGAGAATCAACAGTCTTAAAGTCATTTTTCAAGACCTGATTCTGGAAATAAGTATGAGCACCAAATATGTATCTTTTTAAATATATAGTTTTTAAAGGAGAAAGCACATGAGTTACAATTGATTGTTTCAGATTTTCCTTCTATGAGAATTAAATTATTTCATTATGCCTTTATTCTCTATAGTCTAGGACACAGTGTATCTCTATCCAGTTACAAAACTTTTGAAGGCAACATCTTAGAACACAAACTTTAGACGTCTTCAAGTGTTGGTTTATTTTGTAGGTGTTTTTCCCTGTCTCCCAGAAACACTGCTAAAAAGTCAAGTCCATCCTTGTGATTTGAGAAATAAATGCAACGATTTATCATTTCATGATTACCTCTTGTTTTGATTTTCACAGCCTTTTGTTGTTTCAGCTCAATACCCAATACATCATAGAGGGCAGTCAGCTCAATCAGAGCTAAATGGCAAACTTTCTTCATGTCCTGAGGTGCGAGGTCACCAATCCTTGTGGTACCCGTTTTGTCTTTTGGCAATCTGAAACTCTAAAAAACATCATTAATATAGTAAAAGCTTACAGTATCTAACCTCCATTGCAATGCAAGAAGAAAAAACCAGCTACAGAAAGAAGTTATACTCAGAATAAGTGACAAGAAAAGCCACAATACAATTTCTCCAGACAGAATGAAGAGTGATCCTGTCATGACGACGACCCCTAAAGCTGTGGAGTGTTCAAGAGTCAACATTCAAAGTCTGTCAGACAATGAATGGGACCGGACCGCAAACTCGGAGTATTAATACCAGTGACTCGGAGGACAAGAGAGACAGTGAGCCCAATGGAGAAAAAGATTTCTAGTTAAGTGACCTTCAGAAAAGGAAGGCTAGAAGTCAAGCACAATCCATGAGGGGGAAGGGGAAGAAAAGGGCGAAAGGGAAGGGTAAAGAGAGGGGGAGAGGAGGGGGGAAAGAAAGAGGAGGGGGAAAAGAAAGAGAAGGAGAGGAGGGGAGAGGAGGGGGAGAGAAAAGGGGAA